CCTTGCCCTCCATCTGCATTCCGCGCGTCAACACAATCACGTGATTGCAAACCACCTATTAATGCATTAACATTTTGTGATAAACTAAATCAAACATGTTATCTGAAGAAAAATGTACTAAAAAGGCATAATGTAAAGTTGTTCATAAATTTGACACCAGCAACTGTCACAAACATCAGTGACAACGCATTCTCACCCCAAGGCGTCACCTTTGACCATGCTTCAATATTTGACGTTTTAGGCGCCCTTTAGCGTCACTTACATGATGCGATCCTAGGGCGTCATCTAACTGACGCTAAAGGGCGCCTAAAGCGTCAGATATTGAAGCATGTCCAAATGCTTCCCAAGGCGTCAGTTAGGTGACGCCTTGGGAGTGAGAATGGGCTGTCAGTGAATGACACTAGATGTCTTGCAATGTTTACATTTAACCTTAATCATTGAACACACAATGATGCATTCATCATTAAAAACAATTTAATCTCATTCTGTTTTAAGTGATTTCACTGCTGCCATCAAGAGTGAAAAACCTACACAAACATATTCATTAATAGATACAATTTTCAAAATCAAAATCAGTGTTAGCACAGATGATGGTTATTTCTGTGGTTATTTTATGGATTACTGTCTTCATATCATAATGCAGTTGGATGTTAGAGCAAGTTTGATTTAGTTTACCCTAAAATGTTAATTAATGCATTAATTAACAAGCATGTACTAACGTGTAGTTAAGATGGTGTATTCATGCAGGAATTCATTTGACTCATGTCGTAGTTAAGGTTAGTTCCTCATTAGTACGTCTTAACTCATCCTTACACTCTAAAAAATGCTGGGTTGTTTTAACCCAACTTTGGGTCAAATATGGACTAACCCAGCCGTTGGGTTAAATTTTTACATTACATTTTTAACCCAACATTTCGGGTTTGTCCATATTTGACCCAAAATTGGGTTAAAACAACCCAGCATTTTTTAGAGTGTATAAGTAAAGTAATGATTAATTCAGGCATCAGTACATCAGGCATCAGGCATAGCCATGTGCATAGTATAGCGCCATTTTGTCATATAGCGTTCTATATGAAGCTAAAGGATGGTAAATGGTAAATGGACTGCATTTATATAGCGCTTTCATAGACCTAATGGCCACCAAAGCGCTTTACATATTGCCTCACATTCCCCCATTCACACACACATTCATACACAGACGGCGGTGTCAGCCATACAAGGCGCCATCCAGCTCGTCGGGAGCAGCTGGGGTTAGGTGTCTTGCTCATGGACACCTCGACACTTGGTCAGGTGGAACCGAGGGTTGAACCACCAACCTTTCGGTTTGTAGACAATCTACATGAACCACTGAGCCACTGCCGCCCCTTCTCAGGATGAGAATGCGTTGGTACTACAAGATTATTCATGTACTATTATTGTAAAGTGTTACCAAATTTTGTTTACAATCGCGATCCATTTCTCAATACTTAGGTCACTTTTTTAAAACTCCTCAGACATTGAGGACAACAGCAGTCTATGTGGGCTAAAAAAGAGAGCATTTATCATTATCATCTATCTAATTGCATACATTCTTTTTCTCACTCAAACAAAACCACAAAACTGTTAAACTTAACATAGAACAAAATTGAACAAGACAACAGTTTGCAACATTTGCACAGTAATACCATCGTGTAATATATTTAAACGTACAGTATGCGATTTTTGGCCACCAGGGGTCACTTATTTAAAATAATAACAAAAGACGTACTTTGATGACGTTGGGAAAGAGTGTGGGCTCATGGGAGTTGTTGTCGCTGTCAATGACAACCAGCTCAGCTCATGGCATGACATCATCGTTTCACAAAATATACGGATATACGGCATCTCTCTTTAGATTTAGCTTGTCAAGAAGCTTTAAATGCAACCCCAATGTTTACCTGTGTCATGCTTTTTCTCCTGTCCCAAACCCTTCTCGGGTCATATTTTTCACCCGTACGTTTGAGCTTTACTGAGCTGGCTGTAGCAGCAGAACGTGCAGGCAAAGCGTAATTGTGGTCCATAACTATAAAACAGACGAATATAAATATTTATATTACGCCCCTTCAATGAATGACCTATTTAGAACATTTTTCATATATAGGGCGCACCGGATTATAAGGCATATAAGATACTGCAGTCAAACGTTTGACTGGGTTTGCGTTATGCATCCACTATGGTGCTAAAGGCTAAAGGGAATGTAGTGAGTGCGCGGCGCCGGAGGTGAGGCCTTTATTTCTAGTAAGCATGAGCACGCTGAAGCGGGCATGTACATTCGCAGCCTGACTCATATGAGTATTCAATGTGCGCGGCTCGTTAACAGCAACAGTTGGCTGTTTTGAATCAGTTTTGAATGAGACGACCCGGTTACTGTGAACGGGGAGCGCTTTATGCGCGAGCAGCACCGGGGACACGCTCGTGAGCGGGCACGTGATTTACACACATAATTATACGTACTACTGTTTTTTCTTCGTCATTTTCTTTGCTTTATTGGCGGTAGTCCAGTGTTCCCCTTTGTGTTTGGCGGTTTCGCCGGGTTCCGCAAGGAAGTTAGAGAAAATAGAGGAGTCAAAGGTTATATGACGCCATAGACAGGCGACAAAACGGAAATAAAGAAACGTCCTGTGTCTTCGAATTAAACTATAAATTTCTGTCGGGATAATGTAAGTACACATCTAATAGAAATATATAACATAGATACAGTTATTTTTGCTATTTTTAAAGCAGAAAAAATACATATTGTGGCTTTAAAATCTAAAAAAATAAATGTTATCAAAAGAATTTGATGTAGGAACCCCTAGACATGGACCATGCAACATATCATGCAATAAATTCTAAGCAGTAGAAATTTGTCATTCTTGTTTTGTGAAAACACTGTAGCATAGTTGTGACAAGTGACAAAGCATGTTTGTTCATTTATTATACCTTTGCTAGTGTTTTGGAAGAATGACTTGATTTGCGACATGTGTGAAGCGTTTTGGTGGTTTAAGTGCATTTTGAATGTAAAATGTACTGCTGTGCCAAGGAGGAAACTGTGTCAAGAGTTTTGAAAAAGTGACCTTGGTACTAAGAAATGTGTCAGTGATTGAAAAAATAAAATAAAAATTCTCTATTCATTATGTTATGACTATAGGGACTATTGTTGTTATACACTGTTAGACCTAACCAGGTTTTTTTTACAGTACAATACTGGCAACACTGTTGCCAGTTATTTACCGTAAAAATGCACTAAAACTAATTTACTGTCAGTTATTTACTGTAAAAATGGACTAAAACTCGAGTTAACTAACTTCACTTGCAGAAACCAACTTAAAAGAATCAATTAAATTTATAATGCATTAATAATCTGAGCAAAGTATTATTGTGAACTTATTTAATTAGAAACCACAAAATATTACTTTTGTAAATAAAGAGATTTCCACCAGATCAGCAACTACACAGACAGTGCCTTTTAAATAAAGCAACACACAGCGTATCATCAATGTTCATAGATCTTCTCCTGGACTGAAGCACAGTCTCTACTCTTCAACACAATGGTGACCCAAAAAACAAGATTTTACAGTAAACTACTGGCAACAGTGTTGCCAGTATAAACCTGTTTTATAACTTACAGTTTATTACTGTTAAAATACATTTTGTGGGAGTGTCTTTTTTACCTTACACTGTTAATCCTTTCTACCCCACAGGAAAATCCACACTTCAAAGAGTAAAAGTAACATTGATGCAGTGTTGCAGTGAGATAATTAAGGGAATATGTAAGTGATTGTTGAGCATTAGTGATGAACACCTGCTGTTAACAAGCAGAATCACCGAAGGAAAGAGGAACAACAAGAACAGAAAATAGAGAAACACAAGAACTACAACTGACTTCAGCCATTACACATTATTACACTTATTATTAACCAGTATGGCTTTATTTCTGTCAAACATCTATAGAAGATGTTGTTGAGATGTTTAATTGAAAATGTTTGGTTTGAAGTTACCATTATAGAGATCAGTGTTTGCTTTAGTTGGTCTGCTGATGCTGTAACATGATATTTCCTTTTTTAACTGTGTTTTGTGCAAGTCACACTTGTGCAGACACACAGTTTAGTAATGATTGGATTTGTCAAAATATGAAAATCATCATATTGTCTGTTCATTTACTAGAGAATTCATTCTGACTCATTCAAAGTTTAATCCTCAACCAAGAGTGTTACATTACCACCACTGTGAAAACGCAGGAATAAATTATGACTCATTTTTTAACACATCATACATAAACAAATAAATGAGCTACACAGTCTTAAAAAACACAAAGATATAAAATTTTAGCACATTAATCTCAACGATGGTGGCAATATATATTTTTTTTATTCATGCAGCAGTGCATGCTGGGAGTTTTATACAATCCTGGAACCCAGCATGCACTGCTGCATGAAACTTTTGAATGTTACCATTGTTGAGATGAATATTATAATTGTTGATGTCTGTGTTTCTGACTCACGCATGATATTGTTTTAATGTTTTATATGATTACAATATTTTTGAAAAGATATGATGAACCAAAATACTGATTTCATGTTTTATATTCACAGACTTATTTTATACTCACAACTTCACAAAATGTAAGTTTTATATTATATATCCATATATTCAAAGAGTATATACAGTATAATAACACCAGATCAACTTCCTCTTGACTTTTTCTTGCTACAACAAATGTATTTTAAAACTCACTGTTACAGCAGTCAGAGAGAGATGAATGAAACAAGTCCAGGGACAAGAGACCTACTAAAGCAAATACAGATCTAATACTGAAACTTTATTATTAATTAAATTCTCAACAAGAACTTTTGTACATGTATGAAGTAAATAATGTTAAACTGGTTTGTAAACTGTTTTCACACTCAGTGTTGCTGGAAGTCAGTTGTAGATCTTGTGTTTCTCTTTTTCAGTACTTGTTTCTCTGTCCTTCAGTGATTCTGCTTATCAGGTGTTCATCAGTGTCTCAATTCACTCACTTGTTTTCATTCAAGTGGACTATATTAGTGAACTAATGTAGGGAATAGTGAATGAGGGTATAGGGTGTGATTATGAACACAGTCTCTGAGTGTCGACTTTGAGAGCTGTTAATTCACAGTATATTCCTGTAGGCTACTTTTGTTTTCTACGGTATATTACTGTTTAATGAAAACATGGTATGATAGTGTCAGAACTTGGCCTGTTGCCAGTATTTTACTGTAAAAAACTGGTAAGGTCTAACAGTGTAGGGATAAACAAATATACAAATTATTATTTTGGATCACTATTAATTTGTGGCTTATCATCTCTGACTATCATGCTGTGTTTTGATCAGCCTCACTGCTTTCATTAAAACCATCAAGCAATCAGGCTCATTATCCATGGATGCACTTTTTTTCATCATCCTGAGGGAAGTTCTGACTGGTTATAAAACTGACCAATCACAGCATTTCTGGAAAGTAAACAAACTACACCGTAACCACCTACACAGGGTCTATAGCATAGGTTTGAAGCAGAATTATAAATTGACCTTAATACTAATAGTTAGTTGCCTGTAGTGAGGGAAATTTGAATTTAGTCCCGTTAGTCCCTCACCAGGGATCTGCCTCAACCCACACAATATTATTCTGCTCCTCTCTCACTACAGTTTTCACGGTGTCCACTAGGCTGGCACTGTCATTCCAGCTTTCTGGTGGAATGCTTCGATAAAGGCAGGGTAGTTTATCCAGAAGGGGCTCCTCATTGGAGGAACACTCCAGCACCTGAGACTCAGTCACAGAGTTCTGCCGTAGTTTGTGTCTAGGAAACAATGACAGAATAGATAAATACAGCAATTGTAATGCTCAGAACAATTGTAATGCTTTTTTGTCTTAAAATCAGAACCTTTATAGCAAAGGCTAGATTTAATAATGCTCTTGCAGCCACAGAGAAAATCATAATACCTCAATTTGCGGAGACTTCTCTCTGTAGACATGATGAAGACAATGATGGGGAAGATTTCCGCTCGGTGGAGACGACGCACACAGTCCAAACCCAGCGGTAACACACAGTGAGTGCCCTATACAATGCATTAAAACATGACAGCATTATATGACCATACTTTTGTGGACACATACGGTCTAATATATGGCTTGTATGTTTACCTAATATACAGTGTAACTATAACTATTTTTAAATACAGGTCACTTTCATAGCTGCAAACTCTGTCATTTAAAATGGTCTTATTGGATTTAGGGTTGGATACAAAATGTGGACTTTTGGTCATCAAAATGATTTATCAATGGTAATCAAACAGCCATAGCAGGAAAAACTACCATGGAAGTCAATGGCTACTGTCAGCTGTCTGGTTACCAACATTCTTTAAAATATCTTCTAGTAGAAGAATGAAACTCCTACAGGTTTGGAACAACTTTAGGGTGAATGAATGATGAATAAATAATGGTTTTGGGGGGTGAACTATCCCTTTAAGCTCAGTGGAAACTCTTAAACATTTTAAACAGTACAATATTGTTTTGTTGATTTAACATATGGAATTGTATTTATTATTTTATAAAAATGTTCAAAGCAAATGTCTTAGTAAGTGCCCCTTCTGATATCTTATAGCTATGTTTAAAAGAAGACTTAAAGGGGGGGTTGACTGCTTTTTTTCTTTGCATGATTGTGTTTATGGGGTGCAATATAACATGTATTTGTGGTTTTTATTTTTTTTAAAGTCTTATTTTTCATAAACTTCACCTTTATTGTAAGCCGCACTCTCCTCTGTCCCCTGAACGAGTGGTTGACTTGCTGATTCTATGAAACCACTCCCTCAGAAACAGGCTATGGGCTCAGATTGGTTCATTTGGGCCGGTGTTTTGTGATTGGCTAAACTGTCGCTCAAGTTGTCCGGAAAGTTAACGCCCATTACATTTACGGGAGAAACGGGCATGCCAAAGGTGGATACCATAGACGGTGGATACACGTAAATAATGATGTCGAGACTGCAGTATCAGTGAGGCAGAATCAGACCGAGAAAGCCGCGATGAGTCAAGCAGAACCTCACCACACACTCTTACTAAACGTTTCTGAATGATAATTTGCTACATTTTTTTAACCATATACACGTTTGTTTTACACAATAGCATCTGACTGGCAACGATAGCAACTGACTGGCAACTAATGTTAAACACAAACAGCGTTGGCATTGGCAAGTTTACGTTCTTGATCATATCGAAAATAACGTCATTAAGCATATATACATGAAAAAATTTTTAGAGAGATTTCCAGAACGCATGCGCGAGAACTAGGATGAGGACGTTCTTCTTCGACTACTTCTTGTTACCGGCTGCTCAGTGCTCACCGCTTAGGAGTATTACCGCCACCTACCGTATAAGATGATGATCCATATATAAGGCGCTCCGGATTGTAAGGCGCACAGCACTGTCATATTTGAGAAGATTAAAGGCTTTTAAGTGCTTAATTTTCATTTTTGGGTGAACTAACCCGTTAAGCTTTGTATTTGTAGGAAACCTGTAGTATTTTCAAATGACCATGCTTTCCACCCTCATATCCCCCTAAGACGAGAGATTTATGTATTATTTTGTCTGTAAAAAATCCTTTTGCGTCATCAGAGGATTTTTTGGCCAGAGGCTAAAGACTACAGTCAATAGTAGGGGATGTTCGGCATGTTCTCAACCCGCCCATAGAGGGTGGGATCTCACTTACAGAATGAACATATAGTGTAATCTCAACTAAGTTAGCAGGCTCTTGTTCTGTGGAGAAAGTTGAGTAACTTAGTAGGAGAAAGCAGAGTTACCATCCTGCTTTTTCCTGGACATGTCCGGCCGTCGAGATCGTACAAAATCATGCCACCGGCCTTGCGTCGTTCTCCCGCGGCCCTCACTCGTCCTGCTCGCCACAGTAAACATAATGAATGCCGAATGTAGAACGCAAAAGCCGAATCCCGGACATTTTGGGCGATCTCGAAATCCTGAGCAGACTCATCACAGAGACTCACTAGTAGCCTAGACATGTTGTTTAACTCTGTTACTGGTAGCATGGCCTCCTAGGGCAGCGAAGCAAGTGCATTCTGGGAGTTGTTGCCTTTCATCCACAGAAGCCAAAAACTAATTTTCTGGCTTTTCTCAGTATAGAAGCCCCAATTTCAAAAATAAATAAATACATAAATGACCCATTTTAAATACACATTAATCTTTCCAGAGGTGAAGTATCCCTTTAAGTGTGTCTGTGTTTGTATATAACAAATTTGGGAAATGAAACTAGACAGATGTCTAAACTCGAAACCAAAAACGTTTGAAACCAAAGTTTGGTTACCTATTAACAAGAGGGCTTGTCTACAAAGAACCAATCAAATTAAGTAATGTTTCATGTCATTTTTTGCAACATAAAAAGCCATGCTTAATGCTTCTTTTTGGGGGAAGTTCTCTGACTGTTGAGAACTCCCAGCCGTGATTAAAGCATTTAGAGAACTATTGTGGAAGTCTGTTTGTCGATTATTCTTGCACAGGAAGCAAGTTAGTTAGGGGGACAAGTATTAGCATCCAGCCGACGTCGACGTGTCGACATCGACGCGCTAGAGTATAAACATTATAGGACGTACGGTAGTTAGATTTAGGGAAACATCTACACCAATCGCATGTTTGTCTGTCTGACTGACTGTCTAATCGTTCTCTTTTTGTATGACTTTCTCTTTCTGATTAATTATTGTAAATCCTATTATTGTAATGTATTATTGTAAAACCAGTCTTACATGTTTTATTTGAACTTACTAAATAAAATTGCTCTCCATCCTGTTAAGCAGACAGTTAGTAATATGAAAACAATGTTTTATGACGCACCCGTTTCATGATCTTCTCCACTCCCTGCAGTGTATAGCAACGGTGTGTTTTCGAGTCACATTCTTCAAGAATTTCCCCCTTCTGCATTTTTACGGTATGCTCACTTGCCATCAGCAATTCTAAAATATGAGAGATGGGTGTCAGATGTGAGGAAAGGAGGGAGCAGCCAGAGAAAAAAGCAGATAAATAAAATAAAATAAATAAACAGAGATGGCCATATACCACAGGACAGAAAAAAACAAAGATGGGCATATTGGTCAGTAAACATCACCTCAGTCTTAATTTTCATTAATGCCAGGACTTATTACAATATATAATTATAATAAGTAATTATATAATAATTTGTCTTTAAAGTAAATAAATAAATGTCTAGTTTTAAAGTAAATACTTGTGTTTTTTTTTTTACATTTTGCAATTGTGACTTTTTTTCTCACAATTGTCAGTTTATATGATAAAATTAAAATTAAATTATTTTAATAAAATTAAAATAAAAAAGACAGAATTGTGAGATTAAAAGTCACAATTACCATTTTTTTTAATTCAGTGGTGGAAAAAAGCTTCCATAGTAGCATAGTAGCTGCACACATCAGTCAGTCACGTTCAGCGTTACGTCAGAATGAATTGATGAACTTTAATCCCTATGGAAAGTGCCACAACTGGTGCCCTTTCCAGCACGCCAAGTAAGACATCTTGTCCCCCCGAACCTGTTGGGGTGGAAGAAAGGACAGGGCTTTGAATGGAGAATGTCGCTGACCCTATACAAAGAGACTATTTGATAACACTGTGAAAGTCTATTCCAACCAGAAATAAGAGCTGCAGAGTCCACATCCTGCCCGTAGGGAAGTAACATGTGGAGCTACACATATGGAATGACCATTAGGACAGTGCTACATATGATTCAGATTCACTTTATTAGCCATTTGCAAAATAAAACCACATTGCACTTTGAGCTCCTTGCACATTTTTTACAATGTCAACAGATAAGAGGACATTACAAAAACAGACAAGCAAGTGCCACATAAAAACTCAATAGTAAAATGCTGAACCATAAAATTTAAATTTAAAGTGCCTAATGTAAATTGCTTTGATTAAAGTGATCACAGCTTAGGGAAAGAAACTGTTTAACCCTTTCACGTGTACGATCACACGGGTGTGATCAGTCTTGGCGGGTCCCTGGAACGTACAATCACACCGGTGTGATTAGAAAGGTCAGTGCATCAAGTCATCAACTGCTAAATTTAAACTTGGCTGGCGCTGAGCCAGAGACGGACACACTCAGTGCTGTTATATATCACAACTATTGAGTGTTTTCAACCACATAATGTTTATTTTAGGTTTCAGACATTTAAATACACATAAGTACTAGCAAAACATTGATTTTGAGTTTGTAAAATAAACACTGATGTCTATGGAAGCGGCAATTACAGTATAATCCTTTCAGTTATAATAAGACGACACGTTTTATTAATATCAGATACACATAGTAGCTTAAAATTTGACCCTATTCTTTTCCCAGTTCACCAGCCACTTACTTTCACGTATTTCGTGAGAAGTGGAGGAATTGACGTTGTAAATCCAACAGATCCGATTCTCTGAACTATAAAACAAACTAAAATTATGCCCATTATGCATACAGCTCAACTAATGTGATCGTTATAAAGATGTTTAAACAACAAAACCCATCCACTTGCACATATTTGACGATCGGAATATCAGTTTCATGCTATAGCTAATACATTTGTGAATATTTTTTATAAAAAAAGGAAAAAATACATAAAAGCAGATCCTCATTCATTCAGCGCAGTGTTGTGGTTGAGCTGTGTCACGTGACAAGCAATGACGCATCACCATGGAAACATTAAAGTGGCAAGTTCTAAATAACGGTCCCCTTAAAAAACTCATGCTGGGGGGTCAGTTAGAATATTTTAAACTTACGTGTGAAAGGGTTAAATGTCAATCAGTAGAACAATTGTCTTCTATTTAGGGAGTCTTCTTTGGTACTCAATGAAGGCGGTCGCATTTTCTCTCCCTCGACCTCCCCTTACCTCCCCTGCTTTGCTTCTCTTGTCATGTCTAGTCTTCTGTCTTGTACTTTGCTGAGACTCTCTCAGCACTGCTCTCCAAACTAAGGAATTATGGATTTCAACAACTGGTCTCTCAACGCAATTGACAATATCTTCTCGACAATTGACAACATCTTCTCGACGAGAAGCTTTGGTTCGGGGGAACCTAATTGCCCTGCCGGAACGTTCGCAACTGGCTACACGATGGATGCATGGGAGAAGTGGTGGGTTGTGTGTCTGGCACCTCTTTCCGTGGAGGATGTTGAAGATATCTACCTATTCGGAGCCATGATAACAGGTCTTCTACTGATTGGATTAGGCATTGCCCTGGTTCATCGAGAAATAAAAAATATGGTGACAGCTGCCCAAAGCCTTACAAGGCTGCCCGTCATGATTGAAGCGGTGGGCAGAGCCAGGGCCGTGCAGAGACCTCTGGAGGGGCAGGTGCTCAAAGTATAAAATGGGGCACATGGAAACAAGGCTTTATAGGGCTGTGCTCAAAATATCAATACAGTAATATATCAATACAGATGATTCTGCATCGATACAGCAGCAAATGCATTGATGGAGTTTTGAAAAAGAACCAGAACAGAAAAGACAAATTTAAAGTTTAAAATTAAAAAAAATAATTGATGTGCTCTATATATAACTCTGGGATTAGAAACTGAAGCATCTTAAGTTGTTCCAACCTGATGGCTTTTTCTTCTCTGTTATACAGAATAATAAAGAACAGCTGTTATAGTGAACTGTGTAGGACAAAATCAACCTGGCCCATGTTTCGTGCAGTACAGTATAGTTTTATTTAATGGCATATCAGCATCTGTGGCTATTTTCATGGCAAAAACTGATTTACAAAAATACAAGAGTTACATTTTATACAATGAAAATAAAAAACAAAGCAAACAAAACAGCAATTAATACTTTACAAGATTTTTAACATTAATGTGATGCCTGTTCTAAGTGAGTTTGCTGCCTTTGCTGTTGATGTTGTTACTGCTGCTGCTGATACTGCTGGAGTTGATCTGAGACTGTAGACATTAAAATAAACAGAAATATAGGGTATTAGCTGAATAAACCATTTTTATGTGACCATGTCAAGATGTAAAGATTGCTGACAGTGTTTGGAACTGGCTCACTAGTTCACTGACCTGCTAAAGCTACAGATTCTGCCCAGGCTGCTAAAGTATATAATACAATAATAGTATATAATAGTAACGTTACTAGGGCAGATGTTCACAGAGGCTTCTGCACACAAAACATAACTGGTAAGCCTATGTGATAACTTACCAGAGTTGTGATAATCATTTTTATGTGAAAATATTTTTTTAAATAAATACTGTAATAATAATAATAGTTTAAAGTAAAAATAATAGTTTTAAGTCAAATAACACCCCTCCACGCCCGTGAAACTTTTCTCCCTCAAACAGCAAGCTAACGTTACTTCTACAGCCTACACACAGCAATACAAACGACATCTCTCTGCATGCTCTCTTCACGTCGTTCTAGTAAAATAATAATAATAAGTAAACAAACATCAAAATCACTTCGCTGAGAATAAAACACCACTTACCAGCAGCCGCAAGACTTGAAGATATCCTCTGGGAATGCGCGATTGCGCGTAGCCGCGCGAAATTAAAAAATGCGCGTGCAGCGTGAGGAATCAGGTGAAAGGTCATCATGTGGGTCATTTTATTTACGGCTAAATTATTATTCATTCATTTTACTACTAGTTAGATGGGGCAGGCATATACAAAAGTGCCTTTAAATACAAAAAAAGGAGAGGAAATTTTGTCTTGACAAAAGGGCACTTTGGGCACCAAGGGGCAAAAGGGCAGGTGCTCGAGCACCCAACGCCCCCCCCTCTGCACGTGCCTGGGCAGAGCTGTCAGCACTGAGACTGTGTCTACAAACCAGAATATGGATAACATCATGGAGAAGCTCACAGCTTTGCAAAGGCAAATGGATCGTTTCGGAGACCAAAATGGACCGTGAGAATAGCCGTGTGAATTGAATGCGACTACTTGCCCGAAGACCAAACAATCCCAATCTGATCTGTTGTCGGCCGCCCTAAACCAGCACTGGCCTTGGCCAAGGCCGCTGTTGGAAAAACAACTCTCCCGGAAGAGCACTGCAGTGAGACGCTCTTGCGTTCCTACCCTGACTCCCCAGACACCCGGTGATTGTTGACTCTGTCGGGGACATGATCAAGGTTGTCTCCATGGTCTCCATGTTTATCGCTATGACAGTCCTGCGGACTGAGGCACCTAGATTATGATGCCAGGCATAGTGACTCTCCAGGCCTACACATACATGAACTCTTACATATATATACAGATATGCAACCACCCGCCCCACACCCCATCCCTCGCCAGCACCTAAAATGGCTGCAAGACCGGATGGCTGCTTGCTTGTGCTGGGCTACTTCCATCCCCCACTCCCCAACCTTGTTGCAAGTTTATTTTTGTTCGTGTTGTAAAATGTACTGATTTTGCTAATGTTCCAGTCTACCCCCTTGTCATATCATATATATGTTTGTATGGACAGGTTGATGGCCCTATTTTGGTACTTGGACTTGTGACAATAAAGGGTTTACTTTCTTACTTACTTTTTTTTTTTTTGACAGAGCGACAACTTCTCCCTGAGGGAAGCTTACAAAGGAACACGAACAGGACAAACGTGAACAGGACACTGCAGCGCAAGTGGGTCTGCCTCCTCCGGGGGCAGCCCTTGCATGTTCACCACTGGGTCCCTGAAAGGAGTGGTGTAAACTTTGGGCACATATCCAGGCACTCTTCTTTGACTGAAAATGCCTTCAGGTCCCCCACCCTCTCAATTGATTTGAGCGCAGTCACAAGCCCTCTCTTCAAAGACAAAGATCTTAATCTCTTCTGACTGCAAGGGCTCACCGGGTGCTCTCTGTAGGGTCATTAAGACAAGGGGATGAGTCATGGCCAGGAGGATCCTTCACACAGGATATCACAAAAGGTCACATTTAATTGGAAATGTGAACGGCCTTACAAAATAATCGAATTTTTAAAAAAAAATTGGAATTGAGC